CTTATCAATTATCCCAATTTTGAAATGTGTGAATTTTGGTCTATTTTGGCTAAAAATTATGGATATATAGTCCATGGATTTGATTAATTTTGATACATTTTTTAAAAAATTCAAAGAATGGATCTGGTATCAAGAGAAATACAMAAGTTATCTTACAAATTGAAAGAGGCTATTGATAATATTGGATTGCGAAGGATAATCAAGACGAGACTTTTGCTGTTGTGTGTTGTGACCTTAAGAAAAATGCAAAAACTTATTTTTAGTGAAATTAACTAGTACTATGTAGCCACCTATTTGAAAAAGGCTGTCAGAGTAAGTGATAGGTATTTCCAAAATGGAAAATAATTTTAAAAAATGGTTTCTTCATCTTCAAACAACATAGTCATGATATCTTGACACTTAAATTTGCAACTGTCATTGATGATAATAAGAAGCAGCAACACAAGTTATTTCAGCTATTCTTRGATGTTGGAATTACCTTGTAATTACTATTGCTCAGACAACCTTTTTTAAATGGATATAATTTATTTATGATATATGTATTTATGTAAGTGATGCATACGAGTATTTCAGGGAGAGTTTTTTCAGTAATTGTTGATGAAAGTGTTACCACGGAAGAAGATTGAAAGAGATKAAAGAWGTTTGTTCACTTTGAAAAAGCAAYGGTATAGACAGTGTTTGTCTATAATATAGTAACATATGAACACAAAAGTTTGAAAATTATTAGTTGTGGTTGATTGGCTGCGGGGAAATTTGCATGATGGTGTCATTTGACTACCACTACCAAAAATGGTCTTCTTGTTCTAATTTGTGTTTCTTTATGTGAATAGTAGGAAACTAACACTTGCACTAACAGGTTATGTGACCCAATCCCTTGAAGGCAATTCTGTAGTTTAACACTAGGGTACATCCCTTCTGTGCATAACCTAAGACATGGCAGGAAATATTCAGACTTTGTTGTAACATTAAAAGGATAAGGTTTAGCCATTAATTAGCAGCAAAACTTCTGTGATATGATTCTTAGGRCCATGATTTGGTGGCTATCTTGAAACTTGCCATAGTCCTCCCTCAGTTGCTGTATGTTTTGGGGCACCATCGAAAATAATATAGATATTTAAAAGCTTGCCTCCTTTTGAGTACATCTATTGTTTGATCRACTCTATCAGATACCCTGTCATAAGGATTTGTGTGGGAAAAGTCCTGGTCACGTGACCTGTTAGTGCAAGTGAAATCCTGTTACATTTTCCAGAAAATAGCGAAAAATTCACAGCKACRAAAAGCATGTTTTAAGGGCAACGAGTGGCSGCAYACTGGCACATGCGTGTGTGATTTTACCTGAATATTCCTGTCAGTCAGTTGTTTGTGAGGAAGGTGTAGTTGGTTYTGTGTGAATGGGACTTGCAGTAAAGTAAAATATTTCAACCCTTGAATTGCTGAGCCTTTGAATTACTGAGTTAAAATGTCCCCCGCCCCTAGGTCAGCTTTCTGTGGTAGCAAACCTTATGTTCAAATAAAAATCAATTCAGAACAGAGAAAACTCCATACCTCAAGTTTGTCACAGGACGTACTCCAGCAGAYGTTCTGCTCGATAGACCATCTCCTCGCAGTTTGGCAGCTTTTTCCCTTGTTTCTTCTAGTTCTTTCCATCTCATTTTTTCAATGGAGGCCTGATAAAATCAAGAGAAAAAGGTAATGGCTGAATGGGTTTTTCTTGGTGAACTACCTTTTAACAATCCATTTCGAATAAAACCTTTGAAATTGAGTGAAGAAATTTTCGCATTTTCAATTGAAATGAATATACGATTCTTAGTTAAATTCTAAGTTTCTAACCATTTTTGTATATGACTTTTATCGCATTTTATTTAACTTCCTAAGTATATCCAGATCGTTTTCATAGAATGTTCAAATATCAAAAAAGAAATCACTTTTGAGTATTGAGTCCTAGTCACATTACAGTGAACTCACGTCTCTGTAAATGTTCCCTGATATTCACTTCGCCTTGGGCGAATAATTGTTTTAGTATAAATACACAGTTGATTCTTTCAAAAAAAAAAAAAAGATAAGACATTTTTTCCCGGTAACAGCAACAAAGATTTTCAATAATCACCTGTGTATTTTTACTAAACGGAAATGAATAACGTATAAATAACATTAAATGCGAGTAAAAATCTATGGATTGTTTGTTTGTTGTTGTTGCTCACCAGTTGAGCGGCAACCACCCACCAAAGAGCAAAAACTTCAACTTATGGAATAAGTCTTTAAAAAATTAACGCAAAGAAAAAAAAAGATAATACGTAAGTAGCGCGTAACTCGAAAATAACGTTCAATCTGTTGGGTTCGAGTTACGTAGCTCGAGTTTGATTTCATCGCTATTTGTCATTGAGTTAAGCACAGATGTCAAAGTGGGCGTGGCCCCCAAAAGATGGGTGTGTCCGAGCGCGTATCTCGAAAAGTGTGTAACTCGAAGTGCGTACCTCGAGTTTTACCTTCCCTCGATCATCACTACCTCTGCGAGGTTTGGCCTACCTTTTCGCGTTCCAACTCCTTCTGCCGTCTTGAAGTGGCTTTCTTCGGCGACAACGTCCGCGCAAGTTTGTCACTTTCTCGTTTCCTCTCTGTATAAAAATCAGAGGATTTTAAGTCATTCCATTCATGATTGCAAAGCGACTGAATCACAAGAGTATCTTTTGTTCACTGACCTGCTTTACGGGCTTCAAGTTTTTCTTGCAGTTCTTGGAGTTTCGGGTCTTGGAGAGACGATTTCTGTACACCTTTCTTCTCTTCATGTCTAAAAAATATATTGAAAACCTAGAGTTACTAAGAAACAAAAATATTGACTACCGACTTATCAACGGAATTTCACGGCAAACATTTGAAAAGGCATTAAAATATTACAATAATTACAGCAAATAAATATCGAATAGACCAACAAATGCACGGAGWTTTTCAGTCTTAGTGACCGGGGTTTCCTGTCCACTTATTGTTCTTTTTCTTTTACGATATTAATACGAAACACAAATGCATACTTCGTACCTTACWGCTGCTGCTCTTCCTTTCTCGGCGCGATGTTTAGCGATGTTCTCCAGTTTGTCCATTAACAATTGATCTTTTTTCTGACCACAAAAGGAAACAAAACAATCAACCACAACACCGGGTTATCAGTGTGATTTTCTTTTTAAATTGTAACTGTCGTGTGTCACCCTCTTGAAATAAAGTTCATTCATTCACTCACTCACTCACTCATTCACATCATGGGTCATCATAGTATTCATTCATTAGATAGCACCTGGGAGAACAGTTGGTGCGCGTTCGCCATCGTATCATACACCACAAATCTGCCCCCTCACTCTTTGCAAGTCAAATTCATATCAAATCGTTTTACCACGACTGTCTTGATCGTTACGCGCTGATCGACACAACACTTGCTACACCGTACAATCTCTTGGATCGACGGTGGTTGATTGGTCGATTTCTTTGTCGCGACTGGTATTTTTAGCCTAATTTAAGCGCACCCCCCTACCTCCCTTCTCAGTTATCTCGGTAATATATATCGTGCGGCCTTAAGATACAATGGATATTACTTACTACTTTCGCTTTCAAGATTTTGTCGCTTTTCTCCTCCATTTCTTCCTTTTCGGCCATTTTCAATAACGATAATCTTTCCCTRAGCTGAATAACGAAATGCATCATCATCAAAGACAGTTCACACAAGGACACCAGTTTGCGGTTCGCTTGCATGAATGAATAGCAAACTATATGGAAATGGACCCTCCTTTATAAAGCTGATTGCCTTGAATGCGAGGCGAATATAAAAAATACAAAAGATATGCCAGGACAAGAAGTGGATTTCTTTTATATTTCCATGTTAGCCCCGCATCCACGATACTTTTGWRAAGGRTSCATTGCAAGGACGGATCAAGGAATCAAAGAAAGGGTGGGCTGCTAATCTTTGTCCAGGGAACAAACCTTCAATACCGTTTGCACATACAATTTTTGCTAAGTTCAATTAAAATACATCACTCAAAAGTGCGGCGGCAGCCCCGTCGGCTCAACCCCTAAATCCCCCCTGCATTGGTAGTCCTAACATATCTTGTATGCCGTAACCGTACCTACGTCTTGTGATTGGATACATTACTTGAAGACAATGAGATGCCATTTCAATGTTACSGCATGCAAGTCAGTACCGTACGTTCCCAGCTCCGAAGGAAAGCGCTCTATGTTCAATTGCTACGCCGGAGTCGATAGGCTATGAAAAACAATTATAATTTTACCGCGCGCAAGTCCGCTTTTTCTTGTATTTAACACTTTTTAGGCATAAAAGGGTTTGAAGTTTTTCTTACCTCTGCGATGGACATCTCACTGAGTAGACCAGCTCCTGAGGTCTCCGTCAGGTCAACGTACTGTCATACAAAATCAAAGCAAAATAAGATCATGAACGTCGTTATTTACTACAAAAATATATATACAGTAACACCARCGACAGCAATAGCAACAGAGATAATAACAACAGCGAAAAAAAAAACGACTGCATTAGCGGCAACCACCAATAGCAGCAGGAAATATAGCAAGAGCACCAACAACAACTCTTTGTAACAAGAAAAGCGCAAACAGCAATAACAGCAATAGCAGCAACAACRACTCTTTGTAACAAGAAAAGCGCAAACAATATCCGCAACAATAACAGAAATAGCAGYAACAACAACAGCACCAACACTGAGTAACAAAGAGAGCAGCAACATCAATAATAAAAGTGATAATGATTAACTACCACTCACCTTGAATCGTATCACTGGTACACTTTCAATGGCTCGGATTTTGGCGATAAGTGCTACTTTCTGACGCATTTCCTCTTCAGCCTAGAAAAAAAAAATCCTACCGTCAACCACACCCACAATTACAGTACTCCCCTCCCCCCAAACACCCACTGGATACACACGAATATCTCTCTGTCAATCACACCCACAACAACAACACCCACAACAACAACACCCCCCCCAACACACACTGAATAAACAACAAACAAGACTCTAGTAAAACAACAAATGAAAATGACGTACCGCTTCTAGCGCTTTCCTCATCATTTCCTGGCTCTCTTTAGCTACTTCTTGTACTATAAACACATCATATACACACGGGTATTAGTATATTCATGGGTGTGTACTTGACTCTACATAAAACACATGCTTAAGCCTGAAAAGAGATTGCATAGGCCAATTGCGCATGCACCTTTTGTCAGTGTCACGGTGTTACAAACAACACATGTTAGCTTACCTATCTTTTGCTTGAACTCCTGGAGTTTCTTCCGAGCTTCTTTGGTGTTCTGATGTCCTTCCATCGTGCTTTCCACGAGATTTCTAACAACARAAAGAACATTTTAAAGCTCAAAACACTTTACTTATGATTTTAAAACTCATTATCAACCTTGGTTTATTCTTCATTATACCTCCTAAATAAATAAAAAAAGAACACTAAGGGGGTTCCTCACAGTTCTATCTTGGGACCTACCTCATTTCTTTCTCCTCCTCAAATTTCTTTTTCAAATATTCATTCATCATTTCTTGAGTCTAGAAATATGGAAATTCTAATTTAGACCACTTTTTTTCAAATGGAAAGACAGATTCAAGCCCCTGTCCCCGTCATATCAAACAGACATCACTCTTACCTCTAGTTTGATTTGCTGTACTCGTTCTTGGTTTTCTTTGATCAGAGTTTGCCTTGCAAGAATAGCTTCTTCGTAGCTCAGCTTTCCTTCCTAAAACGGRACAAAAGGTTTGCATTGAGGCATGTTGGTACTTTTATCAAGAGGCCTTCAACAACACAAATCAAACAGTCATCAATGAGTGTACAATACCAGTCGTCTTCTTTCTATCTCAGCAAGATTTTCTTCCATATCTTTCTACAAGACAAAAATGAAAAACACTTGTAGTAATCAACACTGGAAGATCTGTCTATGAAACGATTCACTGGAACACCAGCAGTAATACATGGTACAGCGCACAAGCTAGGGAGTGAAAAATGGAAATGCGATTGGAAAAACGGAAATCTAGGCTGCACAAACGAACGACAAAACTAGATGAAACAATATCAAATTGCGATTTATTTTCTTTCTTTCTTTCTTTCCTTTCTTTCTCTCTTTCTTTCTTTCCTTCTTTCTTTCTTTCCTTCCTTTTTTCCTTCCTTCTTTTTACTTCCCTAGTTAATGCGATCATCAGTGAGAGTCCCCTATCAATCAAGTCCATACCTTTCTCATGCTCTCCTGCCATTTGAGGAATTCCGATGGGTCCTTGCCTCCTTTCTCATACTCGGCCAGCCTGCACAACAATCATGGAAATAAAAATAAACACTCTATACAATACTAGGTACCAATCTTGTTGTGCAACCAATTGACTCAACATTCCTTGAGATATCAATAACAATGAAACAGCCATCATGTTGGTTGATCTAACAAGAGAACCTTATGAGGAATGCTTCGGTATTGTTAACCATCATGGCCGCTATGGCATAACATGTACCTCAAGAATTCACAAATATGTTCCACTTCAGGGAATCTCAGAATCCTATAAGATAACCCATCCCAGCAGGGGAATACAAAGTAAATCAATACAAACCTTTGTAGCTCCTCCTCTTCTTTCTTGTCAAACAGCACTCCCTCTCTCATTATTGCTGCAGCATTCAGCCTGATTGGTACATTTCCTACCTAATCAACGATACAAAACACGGATACAAAGAGTTTAATGGGCCCTTGGATAATTGTGTTCTCATCAGTCCTGACAGAAACCATTTCTATGCTGATCATCCCCCTCCCCTCCCTCCCCATCCTGAGTCAAAAATATTTTCTTAAGTGCACATCATCTCAGAAAGCTTGCAATTCAATATCATCACCAGACATACCATTGTAGAAGGAACTTCAGAAACTTTGGATTTGTTAAACTGCAGCCTGTAGAAAGAATCACAACATATGATGGCTGTCTTGCTGTAAACAAACTAGTAGGTAACAGATCCCCAGGAGATGCACAACTCAAAAATGTTGCACTAACGTTTAGCCAGAAATGAGATATGACTAAGCTAAAACTAATTTGGCCTGTAATCATGACCGGCCACTGATTGGCCATTATTTTACACGTAAGCCCTGGATTAATAAAAATTAGCAGCACTTTTCGATAAACATCTTGCACACTCTTGTGTTCTAAGGTTTTCTTTCTTTGTTTTAAGTTGGACATTTAGCTCCCACATAGAACTAGCAAAACCATTTTTTCCAGAAAGAATAAAAGAAAAAGTAATTTGAATGGTTGTAGTATGCACATGCTCAAGCCTGTCTTTGAACTCGAAAAGTGTGCAGCATAATAATATACTTTTAAAGCACTAGCTTGTAAACCAACTTTATTTGTGTAAATAAGAGTTAACTTTTATCTAATAAAGCTTATACCATCATCATTATTGCCATTATTATCATCATCATCAATATTATTAGATAAACAAATTAATATACTCACTTTGCTTCCTCTTCTTTCATGATTTTCTGCATTCTTTCTCTTGTTTTGGCTGATTTTTCTGCACTTGCACAGCTAAACTGCTTGGCTGATGATTTCATTAGTTCTTCCTAAAGACAAATGAATTTAGATCATCAAATTCCTGTATGTTTTCTAGGGAAGCATGGGTGACGTGTGCTGCTAATGCACTGCCTTGGGTTCGAGCCTGATTCGACCCCTGCCGATCTCAATGTTGTATGTGAGTAGAGTTGTTGATTGGTTCATCATTGATGCATGTTTCAATGTGTATGCATTATGTAAGTGTAAAATCAAAGTTTAGTTGCTGCTCTACATGCTAGCAGGCATAATGGCCATTTAAACATTATTACGTCAACCTTGTAGTACCTCTGCCTTTTTTCTGTTCTCTTCATGAACTTTGGATAACACTTCTTCCTCAAATGGTTGTCTGTAAGTCGTCTGTGGAACCTAAAACAGGCCCAACATGACAATAAATTATTGTAGCACTTATTGTGGCATGTTGGCAAAAAGTTAGAACATAAAATGCAAGATTAATGATTAATGGCAGTATGTGGACTATACGGCGGCCATCTTGGATTGCAATGCATTATGGGGCATCCAGGGGGCAAATAAAGCTTTGTTACAACAATTACATTAATTGATATTAAACAGCTCACCACAAGAAAATACAACAAAAGAAGAATTGAGACCACATCACATCCATCACCTTTTCCCATTAAAGAAGAAACAAACAAACGAAACTCTCTATATTTTCTGTCATCTTTGTTTTGCTTTGCCCCATGGCAGATGACCGCCATATTGTCAAAGTAGACCATTCCTAACAATATACCATTTTAGACCACATGTCATTCTCTTGAGAATTATACTTTGCACRTGACAATCTTGTTGTCAAGAGAAATTATCTACATGTGGTCTGAAATAGGAAAAACATAATTTGTCCAAGCCAAAGAGGTCTAGTGCAAGTAATTCAAAGCATTCAAAGCAAAAACTGGATCTTTGCATTCTGATTTCACTTACTTCTCTACTCTTTTGTAACTTAGGAATCTACGAGGGAAAACAAGTTATGAAAAAAAAGTTAAAAGAATGCCAAGTGTCACAATGCCAAGAGAAAATCACTTTCTGTACATTACCCAAGCCTCCAACAACATAATATTATAGTATCAAATTGAGCTGATCCTTGATGTATATAAGCATGTAAGCAACTTATGCAGCTGCAAATTGAAAGACCCAGAAAAAATTTTGAGTCTTGTATGGGATTTGAACCCACGCCCTTGTGCTTCCTGTGCGATGCTCTAACCACTGAGCTACAGTAGCAAGTCAAATACTATAGTGTACACAATTATATTGAACAAATTAAGAATCATTGACTGACCTTATCAGGTATTGGAACACTACGAGGCTGTGGTTTTGTTAGATTAAATGGCTTGATTTCTAATAATCATAATGACAATCTGTCAGGGGTGGATCAATGATTTTCAAAAGGGGAGTGACTGACAGTACAGCCTCTCATTTCTCAGGGCTGAGCAAGAGAAAGGTGTGCTCTGGGTACAAGATTGCTCCTGTACTTGCATAACAACACACACATAAAACCAGAGGGCATTTGAACTAAATGGAATAATTTATTTAAAAGCTAATAAACAACGGCAAGGTGAAAAAGTTTCATGAGAAAAGTTTGACAATTGAAAGTAAGATTATGGATAAAACACATAGATTTGGTAAGAAACATGACGTTTTGGCCGCTATCACTAGTGATAGCCTTCATCTGAAATCTAGACAAGTTGGTCATAATCTTATTCTCTTTGCAAGTCATCATGGGATACCTGGTGTACCATATACCTGTTGCTGGTTTGCTGGGTTTGGGCTTTTGTCTGTTTGCTTTTTTGTCTTCAAGTTTCTTCACAATTTCCTTGAGATCAGGAAGCCATCTACATGTACGATGCAAGACAGACAGCTACAGTTATACCAATTTTTATAATAGTCACATTGTCAATGAAAAAGGATAAAAAGTCAGGGCTAAAAATAATGACAGGTCAGTCATTGGTCTTGATGTCTGGCCAAATTAGTTGTAGCTCAGTCATTCCTCATTTCTTGCTCGTTCTAACTTACGAGTCAAAATGACCATCGAGGGAAATATTAGACCGGGCAAATTCTCCAATAACTGGCCATTATTTTAAACCCTGAGAATCAAAGGAAATAAAATAATAAAATGCACCACCTTACCGTAACAGTGGAGAGAGAAGATTTGCTTTTACATAACTGTGTTCATATTGCTTACACCACTGAAAATAACAAGGATTAGTATGGAAGAGGTCAGTAAGCCTTATAATCCTAAAATAATATCCTTTCTATATCTAAGCCCCTATTATATAATCAAGTAGTTTCTGTCATAGCACCAACCTTCCCTCTATCCCTCAGACATGTTACAATAGAGAATGATGAGAATTAGTGATAAAGTACAGAATAGGTTGTGTATGTGTGTTGCTAGTGCAAATCATGGTGAAAAACTTGAGTGCTCTAGTTGTACTTTCTTAGGAAAGACTTATTTCTCTATATTGTAAATGCTATCAGTTATTGTAGTGGCTATTTTAATAGGCCTAAAAAAAAGTAAAGTCACAAACCTCAGCTTTCATCCATGTTTTAATGTTTTGTTCGTTGAAAAGAAATGCAAGAAACTAAAAGAAAAAGGCATTGAATTACGTATGATTAATAGCGCTATGACTATAGCATTATGCAGTATTCGGACTTCTAAACGAAGAGTCTTGGTAATAACATTTTCTATTGAGCTTTCTTACCCGGTGCATTTTATTTGAGTCTTGTGATGCAATGAATTTCTTGAAGTGAGAAAGACCTAATTCATCAAGTCTGTACAGAGCTAAGTATGTAAGAACTGGAAAGAAAGTTTTCAATTATTATTTTTCGATAAGACAGCCCTTAAAAATTATCAAAGTTGGTTAGCAATAAAATAGATTTGAAAATTCATATGCATTTAAAAAATAGGGTTGATGGATGTTGCTATCTAGCTTCTCATTGCATGGCTGTGGGTAGGATACTCAGACCTACTGTCATGTGAGTAGAATAATTTTTTTTTTCCCTTCTACAGTAGCTGTGCTTTGAAGGTTTTTGTCTTGGTATTTCAGTTTTCCTTCCTCTGTAAAAATCAACTGCTTCCAGTGGAATAACTATAGAATACCCTGCCAAATAAAAAGCCATTTCTAAGGAATGTGCGTGGCCTACTTGGTGATTAATTCTTCATATGAATTCTCAGTGTATTTTTCATCACGTCTCTCTGTCTATGCAGCCTATGCGCCTACTCAGCCTAYGCGCCTACGAACCCTTTGTTTCATCCTACAAAGCCTCCCCCAATCCTAACCCTAAACCTAACCCCAAGGAACTCTATTGTTTATTCCTACAACGAATGCGTAGGTGCGTAGGCAGCCTACTATAATACTTTTCCTTGAGGGGTATTCTATAGTTGTACCCAAGGAATATTTTTTAGTAATTATACACTAAAAATTTATAGTGCAATAAGAATCTCATAAGACAATCAGATCATAGGGTGATTATGGGGACAGACTAATGGCTAGTTTTGTGGGCAATATTTTGTGTGTAATAAATAATATATCCACAGAAAGTAACTGCTATCTAATTTTAAATACTCTAATATTGAAGAGGATAGTTGAGATAACTTACCTAAATACAGGTTTTTATCAACAAGTAAGCAAGTCTTTCCAACATCTACATAGAAAGCATCTACAACAACCTGAAGAAGAAGAAAACAAAAAAAATCAGTACGAATCAAGCTACAGATATAGCTTGAAATGTCACTTTACCTTAAGGATGCTTATGTGCTGTACACATCCAGAAAATACTTCAGTAATAAAAACGTCTTCATTCTCTTCAATATCCTTAAAAACAATAAAGTAGATCAAGTTCAAAATCAACTACCAAAGCTGGACAACTAAAATCTCGAATTAAAAATTCAAATATGCTACTCTACCTTGATCGAAGATAAATGCGAATCTACATGTTCTTGAACTCCATGAATATTGGGATTAAAGCCATCAAGTAACTCTACACAAACCTTGATTAGCTCTTTATACTTCATCGTAATAATATGTTTTGATCAAGTTCAACTGTTCGTCTTCGTCTTCAAATCAATGGCAAACAAACCCTTAAAACCAACTCTAAAATAATTATTCTTAACTGTTTGGTCGATGAAGATAGTTTTTCAGTCTTAGAGAGGTTTGATCGTTGCTTGTTAAGGTTACAGAGGTTTAAATGGCTCAGTAAAAAGGACAAAATTTCAGGGGAGTTTGAATTTTTTTGTTCTCTGTCGTTCAGTTTACATCTTCCAAGGCAACAGCACCCAAGTGAGGCAGACCCAGTCTCACGCGAGTAGACTTTCACAAAGGCAGCCCATAATCTAAGCCTCATTCCTTTTTATCAATAACGAATTTGATAATAATAATAATAATAATAATAATAATAATAATAATTGATGATGAAATAATAATAATTCATTCAAAAATACTTTCAAATAACAACAATAATATTAATAATAAAACAATAAAAAAGAGATAATGAATATAAAATAACAAATACATGATGGTAATTGAAGTGGAGTGCAATTTGGACCAAAATCATACGAGTGATTACAAAATTGCACGACCGCCAATTACCATCATGAAATTCTCCAAGTAAATGTTCGATTCATTTATATTTTTTCTTCAAATTTTAGTATCTTTTCTTCTACTCCCGAAATTTTCTGTCAGAATGCCTGCATTCCATTCATATTTCCAGTTGCGATTCCACCATAATTTTAAAATTCATTCATTGAAAGAAGACTCGTCTTCTAGTACTCATTGATACTTTAATTCATTGTGATTAGCATTTCCATTATTACAATCATCATTTCTTTATTTTTTTACTGGATTATTTGATACAAATGAAATGATTGGTTTCTCTTCCTGTCGGTTGCAACAGGCCAACATGTTTTAACATCTGTTGCACAGGTTTCACATAAACTATTTTTCCCGATCTTTGTTCTCTCTTCGCCTTTCCTTTCAACATCTTCAGATACCTGTCTAGATTGTTCTTGATGCTTGCAAATGTTTGCAAATCATCGATATTCTGGATACCAATCATCTTTCGTAGCTCTTTGTCTGTGTCTTTGATTGCCATGGCGATGTACTCACACATAACCTTAAATGCCTCTCGTTCTTTTTTACTGGGTCGATTCTTGGCCGTATTTCCCCCAAAAACGTTCCTAACCAAAGGGTTCTCCACCCACTGCTTCTTGGTTTTGTGATGCTTCAACTTCTGCAGATCTCTAAGGACAGTCTTAAGATCATCGTTTGTCAACTGGAACCGCTGTGGTTTTTCTTTCCGCACGAGTCCATCTATCAGCTTGATAAATAGTCCTACCCATGTGCCTTTACTAGTACTGTTCTCAACTACGAACTGATCTTTCCACTTCATCATAACGATTCTCTGAAGCGTCACATTTTTGGCTAGTTTACCACTCATCGATTTTCTTTTATGTTGTCTTGTTTGGCGAATATTCTTGGCCAAGTCGTCTTCATCCAGTTCCTTTGCAGTGGCTGCAATCTGGTCACGACTTTGGATAAACTTGAGTATATTCTTGAAGGTTAGCTCTCCTTCAATAGTCCTATACCCAGCCAAGTCATAGTCACCATATCGTCTTGTTTGACTGCTCACTCCATGGCTGGCTGGTTTATACCGAAGTGTTGGGGATAAAAACACGCTGAACGCTTCTGGAAGATGATTCAATTTCAGGTCCACGTCTACGAACGAAACGTGACGTAAAGATGGATCATTTGCCATCTTTTTGAACTGGGATTTAAACTTTCTGCAATACCTACACCAKTCATAGCAGAACAAGGCCAACACAGGGTTGTCGTTATGTCTCACTGTCTCGTCAAATGTCAGCAAGTCCTGCACTTTGACCACGGGTCTTTTGGCAGGACGTGTTTTCTTCTGTCTACTCTTTCGTGAACGGACTGGTTGCCGAGAGAGAGGTTTCTTTTCGAGTGTGTCGAACGAAAGGGATTCATCTTTGAAGGTATTTTTCTTGATTGAACCCATGTCATCTTGGAACATTTCCTTGTCTTTTAAGATACTAAGAATGAAAATAATTGGTTCTAAAAATGTAATTTAATTGACAATTGTATAAGGCGCCATAAATTACCCTAAAAATTAGGAACTAATAAAGAAAATAAAAAAGCACTGAAAAAAATAAGAGGCAAAGGAAGGGACAATGGGAGGATGGGAGAAGGGAGGATAGGATGGGAGGATGGGAGAATGGGAGGCCGAGGAAAATGAGTTCCTTTCCGTAGTAAGTATGTTTTTCTCCTTTTCTTCGCTCAATAAATACTTGGATATGTTTACTTTAAATTATTCTGAATCCCTGAAAAATCCATTCATTGAGATTTTCGTAGCTGATCTGGCTAAATGTTTACCTTCCAACACTCTGACGATAATAGCCTCCAAGAAAGTATGATACATCGAATGTTGGGAGCTCCGGCAAGACAGTAGAGAGCACGGTAATGTTACCACTCGTCTCGTGCGGTAAGCAGTGCTCAACAGACTCCAGACCTTCAAGCTTCAGTTTACTCCACAGCTTCTTGTGTTCAAAACAAACTAACAGTGAACTTTGCCCTGGATTGTCTTTCATCGTTAACAGATCACCAACACATGCCAGCGGATTTGCCCCTGGTACAGTGACGGCGGTGACTTGGGACTGCGGTATTTGTCCAGGGAAGTTGGGCCAAAGTGGTTTAGAATAGATGACGGCTTTCTGTTTTTTTGCTTCAAAACAAAATTGGTGATAGTCTGGGGTCGTCAAGCGGTGTCGGGAAAAGACTGAAATCTGGTACAAAACGGGAAAGATGATGAGTTAAACCCATAAGAATGTGAAAATAAAGTCAAAAGATTAAATTACGACTTGGAAATCGACGGTTGAAAGACACGGCGGAGAACAGGGACACGAGTTAGCCTAGCGTCGCACCTTTGTGGGCTGGTATTCTCTACGCATATTTGCATTGTTTCCACGATTTCTACTTTTAATAAGTATAATTTGTGAGTTTACAATCGTAAATATTTTCAAGAATAACTATAATTTTTAGCAGAAGCACTTGCCTTAGCGCGAGAAAATGTAGCATAGACATAGCACTTTTGTTGTAAAGTAGAAGGCATGGAAGATCTGCATTCCTTAGTTAGTGTTTTCTCCTTGTTCAAGGTCTTTGCTGGTTTGTTCTTGTCTATCGTTATATACGCCTTGAAAGGACTCGATATTCCCATCTTGTGAATGTGGACAAATGCATTACTGGATGCCAGTAGATTCATCAGTTTTATCAAGTGTTGTTTTACTATTGGAATATAAATGCAAGATGACGTGATTCGCTCGCATTGCATACCACGATGTGGAGACTTTTGAATACGGAGGGAGGGGGAGGGGGAGGGGGAGTGAAGGTAATCATGGATCCAGGGAAAAAAGGAGGGATCTAGAAATACAATTATGGATTAAAACAGGGGCTACAGACCCCCCTGCCCTTTTCTCACTTAGCACGTAGTTCCCGCCAATGTGTGGTCTAATAATAGGACTTAATCGTAGAGGTTTATTTAGGAAACGCTAACAAAATCTGTTGCTTTCATTGCTCAAGATGAGAGTAAAAGGAGAGAGTGTGATGACAAAAAGGCTGACAAGAAAACATTCATAGGAGGTTGATTGGTTTAAATAAAACAAATTATATATTAAAATAAACTCATCTAAAACTCACCTTTCAAAGTGACGCAGATAAAGTATGCAGATTTAGAGGGCGTCACGTCTAACCATGTCCATAGATTGGAAGAAGGATTGGCTATAGACTGCTGATCACTGGATAAAGGCGGGAAAAACACATTGGAATACATGAGCCATACGCCTTTCAAAGAACTCGTTGCACTAACGATCCCCTGCAAAACAAAGAGACCCGAAAACTAAACATTCATTTTATCGAACCCTGAAACGACCTCTGGGCTGATTAAAGTCAGGGCATGGCTAACTCAGAGATTGAACCCTGAAACAACCTCTGGGCTGATCAAAGTCAGGGCACGGCTCACTCACATCACAAACCCTGAAACCTGAACCTCTTGATTTATTTAAGTAAGGGCACAGCTAACTCACAGATAGAATTCCAATATTTCAAAAGGATCTTGGGAATCAAGGAAGACACCTAACTCTATACTCACATGTGTTACCAAGTCCAGGACTAATCGAACCCCAGAACCCAGAGGTGATAGGCGAGTGCAATAACGCTACGTCAGTACCCCTGATTCACTAGCTAGGGATCCCGCGCGGGACCGGTATCTTTTAAGGGCACAACAAAAACAAGAGTCTCGCAATAGYAATAGAGGGTTACCCCATGATTAAATAAATAGTCTCTATAAAAGACTAACTCCTTACGTTTCTGTCAGGCACTGAATCAGTATTGGTGGGAGAGGTTTTCAGGTCATTCGTGTAGGCAAAGTAATCTGCTTTAGATGTCAGTATAGCTTTCACAGTCCTGGACAGTGGGTTGTTGGAAGTTTCAAGAGATGGAAACTGAAAAAGAAAAATTGAACCTTGAAATAAGATAACGAAGTAGTATTTGTTCTTCGCTTTATGTGTAAATTTGTTTATAGCTTGCTTGAGGATTTTTAATGCTAAGGCTACAGTAAGTAGAGGACTAGAAGACCTCGTAAACTAAAGGGTGTGTACCATACGAAAACCTGCAATAGTCCCCTTCACAGTACCCTGCACCATCTTGAAAGGTAGCCGTCCCTTTGCATCGAAGCGAGACAAAAGGTGAGCTTGCAATGATAGAGTAAGTGTGAATAATTGTTCAAGGTGTTAAAAACGGTCTCTATCATTGCAAGCTCACCGTTCGTCTCGCTTCGATGCAAAGGCACGGCTACCTTTCACAAATGGCGCAGGGAACTGTGAAGGGGACTATTGAAACTAACTTTCAATAAACGTTGTCACCGCCATAGGCAATAGGCGATAGACGAAGGAAAGCGTTAGGAGACAGGTCATTCCAAGATCCAAGAATAGCTGGAATGACTTGTGTTTCTGCTTCTTATTCTCGTCAAGAACATGGACCTTAGTGTTGAGACTGATTCAATGTTTTGAGTATCAACGAAACCACTTCCATGTGGAAATGCCCTATCGCCTATCGCCTTTGGTCTTTTGCGATTACGTTTATTGAAATAGGTGTATGCATGTATATCATGGCGTTTTCACTCGTGTGGTTTCATGAAATTCAAATGATGTCCTACCCCTACCTGAACAGCCGTGTCCTTGCTTAGGTCGTAGTAATGATAAGACAGTCCATTCCCACGGAACAAAACCCATCCATCACTTGGTTCGTTTAGGTCTGTTTTACACTGCAGCCCAAGTACTACTGGCAATAGGATGACCATCGATATAGCACGACCAATAAAGAGAGCCATTGCATTGGCGTTTTAAACGGCAGGAAAACACGGCTGTTATACTTGAACAAGTGAAGGACAGAATGTAAACTAATAAAAAGGTTATATTTCGTAGCGAAATTTCTGAATAACTTGAAGAAACTTTAGAGACTGATTTTACACATATATTAGGGACGAATAACCCCTGGAAAATTACGAGGACAATCAGCAGTAACCAAAAAATCAAAATGTTTTATATTTTCTTTCGATTTTTCACACAAATGCAGACTAAATTGCGGAGATTTTATATAACGCCCACAGATGGTTTTATTTGAAAATATCGATATTATGATCGTGATATTATAAATAATATAAACAAATTGCCCTATATTTTTTATGCAATCCATATCACTTTGAAATACGATTACAAACACAATAAAAATTCAAAAAGTATTTACCTTATTTTTTTACACTTCTTGTTATTTCACGTCCGCTTCAAGAGTTTCTGTTCTACTGTAGACGATGGATTTTTCTTTGTTTAATGTTTTTTGCATTAAATATTTATGGTAGCAACTCACGAGGAAGCAAGATGTCATGAAAACAGTTGGTGACTTCTTTTGAGGAGGGTGACATTGACTGGAGTATCTAATTTTAAGTGAAGGACTGCATATCATTTCAGTACTTGGTCTACAATAGCAATACCGATGAAAACTAGCTAGTGATTGTGTTAAAATGATAAGATACACCTTAGCTTGCAGTATTGATGAGTTTTTTAATATAAGAGTTTTATAATAACATTAGTAATAGTCTTTTCATCGTTGATCTTAATCAAATAATATCTGCCGCCAGTTTTGGAACGAGTGGGACTAAGTGTATCCAGAAACGAGATTGGAATTCCACAATAGAGGAACCAACTTTTTTTAATTCTTGTTTTTAAGTTTATTAAAATTAAACAACTCGATAAGCTGCAAATAAAATCCGAAGTTGAAGCTATGAGCTGTCAACTTATGGCTTCGTACCTTCATAGCTGCTTTGCTGATTGGGTGGATACCCATCGTAGAGTCACCAGCTCTCATACCCGTTTGTCATGCTGTTTGTAAACCATTTCTTATCTCTGCAGCTTTGACAACATGCTGTGTTGTTCGTGTTTTGTCTATTTTTCACCTGCAAGTACTTGGTGCTTAAGTTCTTGACGTTTTCCCCTGTCGCATTCTTTTACCTGCAGTGGTATGGTGCTGCTATCATGGACATTATTGACCATGCTGTGCCTGTGTACCTGTCGCTCCATGTGGCCACTATCATAACTATTATTTATCATCCATGTAAGTTCCTGCTATTCCACCCTTTTTAAAAATATCCAACCATCATTTGGTATCATCAGAGACACGGTAGCGGTGCACTATTCCTATCCAAGCTAACCAACATACCATTCATTGTAAGCCACATCTTCATCTCCTCAGCAGATAAACAAAATATTACGCACTGCTATATAGTGTTCTGACTATCAAGATAATTCAACGACCATAAGGTACGTTTTAGGACCGCGTGGACAAAGGGGATAAACTAACAAATCTCGAAGTTCTAAAGTGTAATCAAAATAACTCGTTTTTTYCCCTAGTCAGCTGGCTAAAACAGTAGAGAAAACGTGCCTCGTTAAAGTGTTTTACGATAATACGCGAAAAACGTTTGTACGAAGATTGTACGCAATTTTCAAGGCTAGTTTTGATGGAAGTTCCTGTTTGAATAAATTTGTTTCTTTTTCAATATTTTTTGTTAGATGTTAAAGATTGCAATTAACGTCGTTTTTTCCCACCTGTACAAACAATCCCAAGAAGACCCAACGTGAGTGTCCCTTATGATGAAAAGTCTTGGCTACTCCAAAGACTTTTCGTACGCATCCCGACGCGCACTTCGAGTAGGAAGCAAATACAAATGATACATTGAAACCAGTACCCCGAAATTGGGTACATTGGGAGAATATAGACATATCATTATGGCAGTGTGTGAAAGTATTCTTCATTCAAAATTGAATATTAAAGTAGTGATTTAAATATTGCGTGTGTTTGTCATCAAGATTGCAGTATTTTAATTAATAAATGTCCTGCTTATCCAATACATTAAAGAGAGGGCCCAAAACAGGTCTCTGTGGAACCACCATAAGCCTGCCCTTGGTGCAATTATTCTCGTTTACCTAATTTAAAGTAACCTAATAGTCAATCAGTGCTCACAATGAAAAGACCTCAGTCTTCCTTTTGTACAGTATGTTAATTAAAAATAGAGGACCCAAAATAGATCTCTGTAGAACACCTTAGTTTCTTTCTCATCCAATTATACTTGTTTTCCTAATTTATGGCAATATAAGAATTGACCTGTGACCAGGTTGACAAGAATTCTCTTTGAATTTTCCTGTACATTATTATCAATAAATAGCACACTTCCTATTCCTCTTTAGGCTTCTTGTTTCTCGYGTAAAGTTCATATCCCAGACCAGCAATAACTGCAAGAACAGTTGATCCTTGAGCCAAGACACGTGCTCGCATCATACTTTGTTGCATTTTAGCATTTCCTCTCAAGAAGGAAAAAAGTCCATATCCCAATGCTCCAACTGTTGCCACACATCCTAGAATTGGCAACTTTATGTTAATCACGACAACAAACAATTACCAACAGATATATAGCATCCCAAGAGTTCAGAAAGAGAAATTTGTAAAAGGCACACTCTYATAAGAAAAATGTCAGCAAAAGGAGGGATGGTTAGCACAAAGGACAACTGGGAGGAGGTCATTGCTAGCAATAAATGCCAACTTTCTGAATTTCCACAGAAATATTTAGATTCTTCTGTTTAGTTGTGCAGTTGCAAGAAAGACTCTGCTTTTTCGTTCTAAACTTCTTGTTTCAGTGAGAGCTTTGCGGTGTTGTCAAATAACCAACAATAAAATAACTTGTCATTTATTTGTTTTGGCAATGGAAAAAACAATTCTTAATGGTAAACATGAAAAATGAAATATAACTTTTTTAGACACTACAATACAGTGTATATGTAAATATATATTTTTGACAGCTCTTACAGACTGTTCATTAGTACTTTACAAATTAATACAAATCCTTACTGTGTGTTTTCAACATTTTGACTATCTTATTATGTTTCAGTGTAACACATTTGATACATGATATCTTGGTATATTTCTAATTAGTCTTTTTTATAAGAACGATACACAGCATAGCCCAAACCACCACACACGGCAAGAATGGTAAAACCCTGTGCTGCGACTCGAGCTCTCATCATGTACTGTTGCATCCTAACGTCACCCCTTTTAAATGACACTAGACCATATCCCAGTGCTCCAACAGTAAGAAGGCACCCTGGAGAAGATGAGAGTTCTCATGTATAGTATCTTTACCAAGTGTACCAAGTATTCATCATGTGCATGTACAGTGTCTGTATCTGGGGCCTCAATACATTGTAAGTACCCTTATTATAATGGACCTCAAGAAGAATCTGCCTTATAAGATACCAAAAAAGGTTTTTAATGTACCTTGGGACCTTTAAGTGCGTGGGTCTGAGACGCATGTTGCACCAATGATTAGGGGCAAGTTACGTATCCTTTAATATCAGTCATTACTGAATTCTATTCTAGATTCTAAACATTTGCATTTTCAAAAAAACTAGGTAAATTCGTCAATAAACAATTATACGAATATTACTTGCTCCCAGAGCATTCTACTATCCCGTACTAAGGACTGTATCTCAACAAGAAAAGCTAGCAACGAATATTAGGGGAACGCGTAACTACACATGAACGTAATACAGTAGAAATTATTAAAAGTTATGTAACGTGCTTCTAACTTGCTGTTAGATGCAAGCCAATAAATAAATAAATTATACAATGACAAACCTACCTATAGGTACAAAAGGGTTCTCTCTTGCCTTCCTAGCAAACTTTTCTTTGGCAGTTTCATCTCTAGTTGGCGGTTCCCATCGCGGTATTTTTTTCTCTTTTTTCTCTGGTTCTATCGGCGCCATTTTTGTTTTACCACAGGGCTCCCATAGAATCATGTGATACTTTCCAAGTCTTACCACAGGTAGCTCGAACCCTGCAATGAGAAAACAGCTATATCTGAAAGATTTCGCTTAACACTCAGTACTACGAGAGCTATTTACGAAACAAAGATACATACTGTTCAATTTTGATTGGATTTATTAAGACAGAAGCTCTAAATTTTACATTTATTTCAAGGCACTAAAGCCACTGTGGGCTACCTGTGGTCTGTAGGGGAACTCGGAAATCCAAGATGGCGGCACGTGTTGGGTTTTTTAGGCTTTCTGCTTTTTCTAACATTTCTTGTAAGAAAATCCCGATAGATCGTAGAATAGGTTAGTATTTGATTTCTTAACTTATTTTCGAGGTACTGGGATGGTTTTCATGTAGGGGTTTCCAGTGGTAAAGTATTTCTTTGTTGTAGGAATTTTTGGCTTTAGTCTCGTTTAGGCTGGGGTTTAAGCTTATAGAAAAGTTTATGCAAGAAATATAATGTAGTAATCGTTTAGAAAGTGTATTACAATTGTGTGTGTGTGTATTGACATTTTTATATTCATCTAGCCTCAAGGAATCTTCATTCACTTTCAAAATCTCCTGGTGTTGGTATTTCCAAAACTACAACTAATTCCTCCTTGGTAATCATTGGAAAATATTCGAGATCGACACTTTTTTCAAGTTCTTATGGCTTACTGTCAAGTAAGATTCAAACACCATCATTTCAGAGGAGTTTGAGCATGTTTGTTGGTATTTTGCACCATAGCAAAATAGCATCCAGCACAGAACATATTGTAAAACCAGCGTATGGTAATATGGAGAACAGGTTTACTGTGATAGCTAGGAACATTAACATCATGAGCAAACGTGGGAAAAGAAAAACATGCAAGGCTGTTGCTAAGAGAGTTCATCGCACTGGAAAAGGGAAATTAAAAAGATGGAGGGCGGGAAAGAATCATGGGATGATAAGGAAGAGTAACAAACGACGAAAACAGCTCAAGAAACCAACGTATTGCAATAAGCAGCAACTGAAACTACTTAATAAAATGTTAAATGGATGGTAAAGAGACAATGATCACTGCGGGAACCAAAATTAATCATGAACCAGAAAAGCCAAATATATAGTTAAACCAAGGACTAATCGGCTCTGGTTTTTTAAGTATCTCAGGAGTTTGGAACATGAACTGAATGAGCATAGGCATTTTCTGAGTTCAATAAACAGGATGTGTTCTTGTCATTTATCCAGCATATCTAGAATGGGTCATGTTTACTATCTTAGAAAACTATATTTTATCATTTGTGGAAGTTTAGAAGAGCTGTACTGCGCCAGGAGGAGGAAACCTTCAGTCCACTTTCCCCAAGCAAATTTGTCCCGAATATAACTGTTTATTTTTTATTCAATATCGTAACTGGTGTAAACATCATGCAAGAATCTATAAAAACTCTGATAGGTTGTAGGTTGTTTTGTAAGAGGAAATGCATGGTGTAGAGCAGATCAATGTTGTGTGACTGATGAGGTATAGAAGTAAGGGGGAGGGTACAATTAGTGAACTGGTCCAGCCCAAGGGGCTGTGTTTCTTCCTACAGACTCATTTATGCAGAGTTAGTTTCATATCAGTGTCTAAATATTCACAAATACCAATGGTAAAGTAAAGAATGCACAACTTCAACAATACAAACATTTTGTAATTCAACAGACCTTGACTGGAACACATCAATATTCTGCACAAAATCGAGGTTAACCCTGCGTAAATGAGTCTAATCAAGGAACACAGTGGAAATTTTGGAACTCCAAACTGCCCCTTTTTATAATTTAATGTGTTGTGATTTGTGACGTTCAAAAAATAGTGCATAAACAACTAGTACATTTCCAATTTAATTTTCTTGTGAAGTGTCATAATATAAATGATAAATAACATATTTGTTCATATTTTGATATAAATAAATCCTTTTCATGTACAATCTGCCTGTAAGGTAGGGCTTAAAATAACAGCTGGTCATGACGACTGCCCCAATTAGTAATTATCCATGGTCCAAATGACTGATGAGCAAACATTTGACTGAAGATATAACTAGCTAAAAACTAGTGTGAGCTGTGTCAATGTTTCTAATGAAACAGTAATGATAAAAAGGTAAATTATACACCKTGAAAAGATGAAAAAACTTACTGACGTTTCGGACGCTAGTCCTTCATCATTTGACTGGACAAGTTCCAATTTTGGGCATACATTGTGCGATGACCGGTTATTTTAACTCCTGTAAGGCTACCTAAAACACACCTATCCAGAAAGTGAACATTGTAAAAAACTATAAAATAAAAACCATGTTTGGTTCAATGATGGCTTGGAAAGGTTCAAATTTAAACATTTTCTATAGAAACTTTTGAAGTACTGTATGCTGAAATTATCTCAAATTTTTTAAGGGATTATTATTATTTTCTACAAAATTATATTGTTATTCTATTTTTAAATTTTGTTAGTGAAGCTTTGTCTCTAAAGCTTTTAACTTTTAGTTTATATAGTTTGTCATTACTCTCATTTATGAACTTAAACTTTCTCTATTTTTTTTAAATTTATAATTATTTGACTTGCTTATATTTTGATTACCAAATGGGAATTCACACTTGAAGGATTTTAGGAACTTACTTTATACTAAGCGAAATACTGAAAAGACAAAAAACTTGTGAATTTCAGCAAAATATTATGATGCATATTTTTTTGTAAGCCAAACCCTTACGTAGAATTTTTTTTGCTTCCATAGCATGAAGAGTAAAAATATGCATTCAAAAAAGGAATTAATGTTGTATTGATGGTTCATCAACTGCAAGGAATGGTGTTGAGGTGAAGGAAGTTGAGGAAAAAGAGCTATATCAATGCCAGCTATGCATTATTGAGTTACAACACTAGGTTCGGGAAGATGTAATTTGGCTTCCGAGCTGMGCTTGAACAAATCTCTCAAAGTCCATGCCTTTTTGATTAACACCTCGCCTGTTACATTTTGCTGTATATGCACATCATTATCTAAAGACATAAAACCCACATCATCACTGATGTCATCTAATTCAGCATCTTGCTGTTTAAGGCTGTTTACAGCTTTGGCTGCAGTTGGTTTTTCAGTCTCCATTCCTTCTGGTACCCCACGGGTGCCTGGCTTAGGCCGCTTGAGTTTACTGTAAGAATCATTGTGACTACTTGTGTCTGTAGATGTRTGGGTCTTTAGATTGCTAGCATTAGCTTGTGCTCCATGCCTGTGCAGGTGATAATTTATTAGCTTTTAATAATATTGAGATTGGTGTTTAAAGCTTTTAAATGAATTTTACTTTGTCAAGTATTTTTGGTGACAATTGGCCAATCTAACATGGTAAACATGAAAGAAAACAACGTTTATGTTTACTTTTTTTCACCTTATGAATGGCTGTGGGGGGGACTTTCTTTGGATCTAAAGGGTAACTGCTTTACTCATGTGAATAATTTGAGTAACTTTACATGCAGCCAAGTTTCAAAGTCGCATATTCTTGCGAATTTGGAATCATTACAATTCTATAGCAGATACTTGAATGTTRATACTTGATTTGAAACGTTTTTGACGTTGTATGATATATGAATATATAAATATTGATATATATTTTCGGTTTCATCAAGTCTTTTCTTCCTCATTTYCATGTATTACCTAGAGGCTTGTGACTTGTTTAATGATTTACTGCTTGACTTTGCAGCTGATCCCCCTAAACAAAACCACACAAAACAAAACAGTTATTTTTTATCACTAAGTTACAAATGCAGTATTGCATATGGTATTGATGATGATGGCAATAGTGATGTTGATGATGATGGCAATAGTGATGTTGATGCTGATATCATGGTGGTGATGAAGAATGATGATGATGGATGATGATTATAGATGATTAAATGTAGATGAGTAGATGACAGTGATGAATAAATTGATGTTTATGATGGTGACAGGATAACCAACATGTCATGTCTAGTCATGCTAATGCTCAATGATGGCAATGATAAAAAGATAACCATAGTGTTGCAGTGATGAAGATGAAACATGCAGAGAAGAAGATGGTGGTGGTGGTGGTGGTGGTGGTGGTGGTGGTGGTGGTGGTGTTGCTTATGGTGGTGGTGGCGGCGCTGTTGGTGGTAATGAAGAATTTTCCTATAAAAGACATACTTGTGAGATTTCTTGCCATAGATGAATTCCTTGTCCAAGGTTTGCTCTCTTTTCCTTTTCCCTTTGAGTTTTTCTAACAAAAAATCAAAGATAGAAAAGAGAAAGCCACCAAATCAGACACCATCCTTGCCAGGGACAACTGTGATCATGTAGGGGAGGGGAGRGGGGAGATGGGGGGTTAACTCCTATATGTAGGATGGGGATGCTGGTCGAAAATTCCCTGCTCTTATCCAATTGGAGTTCCCCCTAGGTGGCAAAAAAGGCTGAACTGAGTTGCTAGATAGGAATAGATGAAACAGAAACAGAGTAGTGGGTCAGAGAACAGCTAAAATAGGTACAATAACCCTTACTGCCTTATTACATGAAATTCTTGCGACGCCAATTTCGCGATTTTGGAGGTCGTATATTTTACAAATGACARTCAAATCTCGCGATTTCATTAAACAAATCATTTCTAATTCCCAAACTATATCCAAAAATTTCTTCAACAAAACCACCTTGTTAAGTGACATTAACAACAATAAATGAGATATTCACTTTATTTATATTTTCAATTCTCACCTCTGCTTGATGGTTGTTTCGTGACAGTAACGATTTTGCCAGGTCCAAGATATCTTTCTCCTCAGCATTCTGTACTCCAATGTTATCCAAAAAACCTTTGATTAGCTCAATGAGCTTTCTCTCTTCCTCTGTAGAAAGACTGGTTTTCGRGTTATCCTTCTCAGGAACAGAATCTCCCGTCTTAATTGCTACTAATTCCATCTCCATCTCACTTCGTTTCTTCATCACAACACTAAGTTCTCTTTGCAAGCGCTCACTTTTTACCCTTGCAACACTAAGGGCTTCTTCCAAGTCTTCTTTTTCGCTGTAGAYACCATTGAGTGTTTCTCTCAGTTCTTCACGTTCATGTTTAGCAGATGCTAACAAAACAGCTAAACCCTTTTTGTCCTGGCTTCCTTGCATGGATTCACTGATGGATAGTTTATATTTCATGGATTTGATCTCGTTTTCAAGGTTTGCAATATATATACGCAAGGCGTCCACTTCGCAGCGCAGAGCAGTGTTTTCAACATAGTATTCCTCGAACCTTTTCTCGTCTTTATTTGGCAACAATTCGTTTATTTTCCTTGAATTTCTCTTTGGTGAAGACTCTTTGTTCTTAGTGTCTTTGCTAACAACCTCCTCGGTGCCATCTTCTTCCACTTGCTTCACCGCTTTTCTCAGACGTCGCTTCAACACCAGCTGCTCATCTTCAACATCAACCAGTTTTTGCACCAAATTTTTCATGTCCTCAAGTTTTACTTTATCGTTTGATAAATCCTCTATTTCTCTTTGTAACTTCAGCCTATCCTTCTCATAGTATTCCATCTGTTCTTTATYAATGTTCTGTGACCCTGTCTCCTTGTCATTTTGGCTTTCATCTTGGCGGTCAAGCTCATCCAAATTACCCCTAATGACATTCTGTGCAGTTTCACGACTATAATTATTCAAACGCTCTTGTAGAATTTGATTTTTCATCGTCAAAACCTCCATCTCTTTCTTCAAGATATTAACCACCTCTTGACTTCTCTCTAAACCATCCCTTGACTTGTAGACATCTGATCTCAGTTTCTTTAGCTCCTCCTCTGATTCAGACATCTTTTCTTCACTCGTTGTCTTTTCTCGTCTAAGACTCAGAATTTTGTCTTGAAGTTCGATGATTTTTTCTTTAGCTTCCGCCAGCTCAACTTCTATTTTACCATCCCTGGAGGTACTTCTGGACTCTTGATTTGTGTCGTTAGAGTTTGGAGGTTTTCTCACATGCATAGATGATAGCTCCACCTCCAACTTGTTACTATCCTCTCTCAGTGAAGTCAAATGCGTCCCAAGATTAGCAGTTTGGATGTTGGAAAGAGTAAGCTCCCCTTTGAGTCGAACAAGCTGTTCCTTAGCTAACAACAATTCTGACTTCAGCTTGCGGTCTTCGTCGGTATCCCTTTTGATTGTAGCTCGTCTTTCAGAAGTCTTGGTTCGTTTGAGTGTACTTCTATCTGAGTCACGCGTTAAGGTCTTGGATTCCCTTGGACTTGTGATTTTTCCTCTTTTTCCTGATGTTCCTCTCTTTAGTGTGTTCGTCCGCGGAGAATTGTCGTCTTCTCTCGGGCTCTTCTTTATCGTTACTTTCTTCTTGTTAGCCAAGTACGATGGTTTCTTGTTCACTTGGCTCTTTGCTCGTGAAACAAGATGGATTGACTGGATTCGACTTGGAGTTGCGGAATCTCTTCCATGTCCTCCTTTCATTTTGACTTCAACAAGATTTTCCCTGTCGCTATCATCTTCCTTCCTTAACCTATCGCACGTATCTCGCAGAAGATTCAACTCCTCTTCATACGCACGTAAACGTCCTTGAGTGGTCTCCAGGAGCTTCTTTGCATCATCTCGTTCTCTTTCCATTTCTWTATACTTGCTGTCCATTGCACTAGACTTGATCTCTCGCGAAGACAATTCCTGTTTCAATCGTGTTCTTTCCACTTCAAAGTTAGCAATCTTCTCCTTRTAATTTCGTATGTCTTCTAAATGTATGTGAACTACACTTTTAACTTGTAGTAGTTCATCTTGTAGAGATGYTTTTAGTGAAGAAACTTGGCTGAGCTTCTTTTCTAGCTCTTTATTTTCCTCATCCGCTGCTTTGAACTTTAAAGAAATGGCATTGTTGTCATTAACCAAGTTCAGAAATCTTTCTTCCAGCTCTTGACGAATTTTCCCAGAGTCTGAAAGCTCTTGATTTATCTGCASGAAGGTCTGTTTAAGATTCTGTAGCTCGGCCTTGACAATCTTGGTGTCACTCTCTGCTTGGATGAGATCTTTTGATCTCCTCWTTTCACATAGCGACTCATCACTATCACTCTCTTGGGTCGAACTAACTCGCCTCAGGAGGTTCCTTGGTTTTGACCGTTTCTTGCCCCCATCTACCTCGTCTGAGTGATGAGGTTCATTGTCTTGAACATCGCTGGTTGATCTCGATCTAAAACCACTTTCTCGAGAGGTTTCTCTCGACGAGTCACTCAGGTACTCAACATCYTTAGAACCACTAGTTTGATTGGTCGACCAGATTTCCGCACCAAGATCCATGACTTCTTTACGGTATTGAATGAGCTCGTTCTCTAAGTTCAACCTCGCTTGGGATTCACTATCAAGCTCCCGCTCAAGTTCATCAATTTGCTTCTCATACTCCTCTCTGGTATTCTCTAACTTCTCCGTTAGGTCCTCAACTTTTTCTCGGAGWTTTTTGCTTTCTACAACCTCAATAGACCATAACTCGCCGAGTCTCTTGTTCAGATTCATTCGCAAAGACGAAACCACCTGTCGCTGGTTGGCGTGAGTAAAAAGTGCAGACTCATCATCTTCAAKCTTGTTTAACTCATCTTGTAGTTTTAACAGAAACTGCTCGATTTCTCCGAGCTTTTTCGAGGTGGGTTTTTTCACAGAAGTATCGTTTTCTGCTGTTTCTTGGTTGATATCTCCGTTTGGTATCACATTTTCTTTATYAGTCTGGAAATTCGTCAAAGGCAAAACAGATCTTTCTACCCCATTTATTTCCTTGCAACCAGAAGCGTCCCCATTCACTGCAGGTTTACTATCAGTCAACAAGGTCTGTGTCGCTTTTGATGTTCTAGTCTGTATTGGCTTGTCATTCTTTTTATTCAATGTCTCCACAAGTTTTTGCTTTTCCATCAGTTCTTCCTGCAAAAAAAAAGGAATATTTTATGATTTTTTTCTCATCGTAAAAATATTAATGCAAAGTATGAGAAAAATTATATTTCAAAACTCATCTAAGTTTTTTGGGAGAAACAAAGGAAAATTTTCATTTAATAGAGGGTTTTAGCATGCTTTCAGTTCGACCCCGTTGAGCTGCGCCACTGATGTACTTGCGGTGGTAACTAACGATAGCAAGGTTTTTTAGATAGACCTTTTTATTTTTTTACATTTAGACTCATATATTCTTTACTTTTCCCCAACTCATCGAGGGGGCTCACTCACACATTTTTTCTTCCAGAAAACGGCAAACGTAACCACTTTTTCATCGTTTCTTTGCATTTCACCCTAACTTTTGCAAACCTTCTCACCAAAGACAAATATTCTTATTKTCACATTCTACTTGGAGATTATTGCGATTCTTCTTTAGTAATGGAAAAGTTTTCTCTCCTCAACTGATGTTTCACCTTTGCCGTACACGAGTTTGTCAAACCTCTCTAATAACGATATAGCACTAAAAGACCCTTGAAAACCCTACCATGATACAGTTTTCGTATGAACGTGAAAAACCTACAGTACGACGGACCAACAAATGCCAGCTATGGCTTGTAAAGCTCCGGTATGCAGTTTCACTAACGTAACCCTCTACATATCCCTTCAGTGTCGCACTGTGGCTTTAATTTCACGCTCAAAAAAAAAAAAGGGTTCTCAATCATGAACTTGCATTGAAAAGGTATTGATGACAAGCGTGGAATATACTTCATGAAAGACTACTGCTTAAGAATCGGTACACAAGACAGCACAGAATAAACACTATTCCATTAACAAGAAGTACAAACGTATATTACCAAACAACTTCATGGTATGCAGGATATGACTTGCGTCATACCGCTTTGCATTATGGGAATAACCGCATGGTCTTGCCACGCCCTGTCCGTAAATATCCTAACGGTGTTTAGTTCTACAACACTAATCCACTACACACAGAACTATTTGAAAAGATGATAAATACTTTCACATAACAAAAACACACACATTCATTGCTTSTCTAAGCTATCTAATATTTAAGAATACTTGTTTAAAACACACTTTTACCCGTCAATTTTATTGCATTAACAAATTTTACTTTACAGAAAATTCAGATAGATTAAAGTTAATGTTTTTTAAATGTTATATCACTTGTTAGTTGTGATCATTTATGTTTTGTCTTTAAATTTTTAACGTGGATAAAATTAGTGTTTCATATGTTTTAAGAACATTTATTATTTTAGTGTCTAATTTTACGTGTATTTTACTTATTTTGCATTTTGTGGTTATAAAATTATTTTAAGGTGATGAATTATTTTCTAAATTTTTGTCATAATTCTACCCCTTTTAAACAATTACATAATTTCTGATATAATTTCTCTCTCGTAATTTGCAGTTTGTCCACATAAATTCGTACACTAAGCCTTCCAGTTTATTTATAATCATAAACCCGAGACCTTCCTTCGTGTATATGGTTTTACCCCAGTCATTCTGTCCGTCTGTCCAKGAAAGCTCTACACAGAACACCCTAGTCAAGCGAAAACTGTTCATTTGGCGCTCGCACTAATCTTGGTTACCCATCAGACCTCTAACACAACGATCATTCAACATATCCAGTACCAGTCTTAGATTCACTCTTCAATATCCTAACAACATTTCTTCTCTCACACGTGAYGTTTAGTGTTTCGTTTCAAAAATTGTATCGCCAATTGTCAACCAAACCCTCTGTCTGTCTGTCTGTCAGTCAGTCGGGYGGGTAGCGACCARTGTATCTTAGCATCGAGTACTTTTGTATTCCAAAGCATTAGCTCTTGGATCCACTGACTCATCTCTTCAGGAAGTGTTGGCAACGACATTAACAAAGTGTGACACTTGTCATGGGTGGGTCAGTCTTGTCTTCAATTTTCTTTTTGTGTTCTGCTTGGTGTAATCTTCTTTTCTGAAGTGGCCAGATGAGTGCTGCAGTCAGTCTTGCCTTTAAAAATCATAACGACTCCTTYATGTATACATACATTACTTGTTCACGCATAGTAGGTAGCTAGTTGCCATGATCGGTGAAGCTTGGTTCTTCGTTATCTGTCAGCWTTTTTTATCCTTTCATCTATCCCTTTATATCTCTTTATTTCAAATTAAACTATTCTTTTGAACATTTATACACGACGTTACGCTCTTTTCAAGCAAGYTCACGTCTTGCGATGAGACACTAACAGTGTTTACTATAACCATGGCCCTATTTCCAAGCATATCTTTACTCCTTTGCGGAGACCACACTTCTTCATTCATAAACTAACTTTCATTGTGCCAAGCGCAGTTTGTCTAGTTCCAATTCTAGCATGACGCCATATGTATAAAATAGAAGTGGAAAAACTGATCTTGGTGAASGAATGGAACGAAGTGAGTCCAAGTCATTGATGAAAGGCGCGTGGAAGAGGAAGGAAGCCACACTTGAATGGAGCTATGCTATGCGCTGCTACTGATCCTTGGCTGAAAAGTAAAGTCGAAAATGTAAAACTGAACAGAAGCAACGACACGTCTTGCTTCGTTAACCATTTAGAAGTCTTGTTGTCACGAGATCGGTGAGGACCAATCAGAGGTCAATAAAAGTCGTTATGATGTCAGTATAAGGGCCAATTAGAAGTCTGGTTTACACGACAGGTCGGTATAGACCAATAGGAAGTCAATACAAGTTGTTATGATGTTAGTATTCTATTCGGGCCTATTAAAAGTTTAGTTGTCACGAGATCGGTTTGGACCAATTACAGAGAAGTTTTGTTGTCACGAGGATAGAAAGGACCAATCAGAGGTCAAGATGTTATGAAATAAGTGTTTCAAGTCAGTAAGTAGGAAGATCGAATCAGAATTGGAGTTATTATAAGGTCTATAAGGATCAATCAGAAGTCAAGTTATCATGAGGTCAGAACGGACCAATCATCTGTCTTTTTCTGTCACGTGTTGGTTATGATCGTCCAATCATTGGTTCGTCTTCAAATGTGCTAAGTGCTCTTGCTCAGGTGCTGTTTTCCCCCTCCAATCAGAATTAAAGGTGTTACGGTGCTTTTACGTGCAATAGTGCTGTTCATTAATACCATTACTGTGTGCCATGGCAACCAAGAAGCAAGCTAGCTGTTAAAGCTCGAGGGCAATCAACRTATGAGACGACTGGAAAAATTGCTTTCCTGACCATTAGAAAAATATCTAAAGAATACAGCTCACATTTCTATAACTAGTCATATCTAGACAGCAATAACTCTATTTACTTAAGGCAAAAGGATCTTTTTTTCTTCACTGCTACCACTGTTTTAGCTGCATAACCACTCGCTTGTATTCGTTCTGCTAGATGCGATTGATTTCGCTAAAGACGCGATTACGCGCAGCATGTTTCTCTGCAACTTATCTCGCAATGGCGTTACGTCACAAGTTGCAAGAGTGTCTACACGGTGCGACGGAGACGCAATCGTTGCCAAAAGTAGAAACGAATTCTACTTTTCGCAAAGATTGCTGCAACTTGTCTCGCAACATTTTTCAAATTGCGCTGTAAGTTACACGCTGCAATGCTCCATGCAACTTGTGTCGCAACGCCGTTGCGAGACAAGTTGTAGATAAACTTGCTCCGTGTAATAGCGCCTTAGGAAGACTAGAGGCGAGCTTTTACAACAGAGGATCATGGGGCTGACTTTTCATATAAGCGAGTAGGGTTAGAAAAGTTCTGCCTCTCGTTAGAAGATCTGAAAGGGTACGCTATTGACGTTTTTACCTTGGGTATAATATTTTCCCATTTCAGACAACGTGTCATTCTCTTGAGAATACGATTCTTTGTTGAGTAGTATCCATATTCATTTGACTTCTCATGCCAGCGCAACCGTTAAACAAAGAAATGATACYCKAAGGAWTGGCAAGTGGTCTGAAATGMTSGGAAATATGGTCGTAGTGAAGAGGTCTATTATCAAACAAAACCTTTTGAAAAAGCAATAACTAGTTTTTATATAGTTCAATAGCAAATATAAACTGAAAAATAAAAGGAATTGTAACAAACCTTAGTGTTCTTGAGTCGTGTTTCTAACTCTTCGTTTTCTTTCTTACTATCRTTCAGCTCTACTTTAAGTTTTGCATTTTCCTCCACGAGAGACGAGATTCCGTCTTGTAGGTCTTTTTTCACATCCGAAGGGCATTTCCCGACGGGGTTTTGTATACTTTTCATGTTGTACAGTTGGAAGACCGACGACAGATCGTTCTCTAGCATTGTCTTGCTTGTTCTCACGTCCTGCAGAAAGTTGGAAGTTTCGGACAACTTCGTGTTGAGTTTCGTGTTCTCGCTTACTAGAGTTTCAACCTGTAAAAAAAAACCCGAAATGAAATTACTTTAAAGTATCAAAAACATAAAAAATACAATGAATATGGAAATCTATATTTTACTCTTTTCATYATTGTCTTCATCGATATCTGAAATGTGTTTATGAACTTGTGAAGTAACTTTTGCTTTCAGTTAATTTGCATTTTTGGCGGGAAAAAAATCAGCGTTCTTTTCCCGCAAAAAACCCTTACACTCAACACAATTTATAATACATCACACTAATATCAAAATATTTAAAATTTATAATATTAATAATAATAAATAATTATACTTATTTATTACCTGTAAGCGCATCACCTCTAGTTCCTTGTTCAGATTGTCGTTGTTATTCAAGAGTTTTGTACATTTTTGTTGGGTGTCAGTCTGTTCAAGTAGCAGAATGGCGCWTTGTAACGCCTTGTCAACAAGAACATGACAAACAGACTGATCCAGAAGAGCAATCTCAGCATGTAGCATGGGTATCTCTGGGTCTTGGTGTAGTTTATCTAAACAACAACGATGAATACCAACAGTAAATAAACAAATGGAAGCGGAGAATTAACCAATTACCTCCAGTTTTCCGTGGTATGTAAAGTGGTAAACAAGAGGACACCAAGGAAAACTGGAARAAATTGTTTTTTAACACAAAAAATGTAAAAATTTTACTACAAAAACGAGAGTAAAGTTTGGCCAGGGAAAACAACGGTCTCAAACCCGCGCGTGATTTGCTAAAGTAATTTATCGGTATGTCCTCCTATTTCCCCCGGCTCTAGACCAATCAGAAAGCGAGAACATTCACAATACTGKTTAAAATGGAGATTTTATAGATGATGGGGGAAACAGTTAAGTGTATTTAGGTTAATGTGCCGTAAGAGGCTTTGCAGCATCACAAGACGGCTGCCATGACAGGAGGCACAGCAATAGAGTCTCCCCCCCCCCCCCCCCCCCCCCCCTACCCCCGGGGAATCTGAATTCTTTCTTATTGCACAGTCAAACGAATATGTCCTTTGTCAATATATAGTGGCTTTGCACTATTACGTGATGGCAGCCATGACAGGAGGCAGTACCAATTGTATCTGGTCTGGCTAATCTGATTTACATGCAATATATACAATACAATWWWATTGTATTGTATATATTGCATGTAAATCAGATTAGCCAGACCAGATACAATTGGTACTGCCTCCTGTCATGGCTGCCATCACGTAATAGTGCAAAGCCACTATATATTGACAAAGGACATATTCGTTTGACTGTGTACAGGGCACAGCACAGTCTCGGAGTACATATATAGTTTACTAAACYAACTCAAATCTGGTAGTTTTTTCCTACCTTGTTGGGTTTCCCGATGACGTAATAATTCCAGCATCGCACCATACACCTTTTCCTTGCTTTCTTCCTTCTCTTYGTCCATCCGTTTCATCCCAAATGCCTTCTTTAAGAACTCGATTGCGTCACCATCCAACGACCYCTTGATATCTTGTAGCTTGTTCCGAAGACTCTTCGTGAGACTGAGAAACCTTGATTCATTTGTTTCTTGAGAGTCTAATTTCACGTCAGTTGTGGAGAATTCAGAAACTTTGTCATCGTCCGTTTTATTGAACTGAGACAACAATATTTYATTCTGCTGCAAGCTAACAACCTCCTTCTCTTTTTCATTCAACTCGTGAGAATTTTGATTAACCAGAGACGGCAATATTTTCGGTTCGTCACGGTCGCTAACAAGTTGTTCTTCTAACGTCTTGAGGTTAAACCCATTGCTTGTTAGCTCATCTCCAGAGGCATTCAAAAGTTTTAAATAACACTGAAGCAGCTCAAGTACGTTGCCAGTGTTTTCCAAGACCTTTTCCTTGGTATCAAGCAATGATTTACCAGAGTATATGTAATCGTCTTGGAAAACCTTGGCTAGTTCTTGTCGTTCGTCTTCAGGCATGTCTTTAATGGTGTAGAAGAGTTGCATGGATAAGAGCTCAGCCAGTAGGGCACTCTTTGCTCGATGGACTCCACCGTGAAGGCAGGTGCTGAGGGAGGAAAGCTGCTGTTKAAGTTGGCTGGATAAGGATTTTTCTTTCTGTAGCTGTTGGTCTATTTGATGTATGTCATCAYGAAGGCTTGTCTCCTGGAATGTTTGTAAAAATGGCTATTAATTGTATGGACATTATATAGAGAAAAATAACTTATGGATGGATGGATAGTGGCAGGTAGGAAGAAA